GTGTCTGCGACGTCCAAAGGATCTTCGTCTACTTTCATTTTTGCTTTATCAGCAAACTTCAGTCTTCCATCTTTAATTGCATTCTGAATTAGGTCCCTGAAAAGAAAACACTGTGAGATTTTGTGGCCTAGGAAACTATGATACTTGCAAAATCCTCTTTTCTTTCTTTGATCTAAAGGAGGTATTTTGACATTTGATGGCACAATGAGTTGGCCATCTTTGACAAGTAAATCAAAAATCTCTTCACACTTAGTGACATCGAAGGTATAAACCTTCTTTGGGAATTTGTCACTTTTCTCATTTTCAACAATTTCTTTCCCTTTTGTGGGAACTAATAATTTGCAGGAGTAAGGTGGTGCCTGTTTTAATTCAGCGAGGTCGATTTCGACCTCTTCGAATTTGAATTCAGGATAATCTTCTGTTTCCTCAGTTCCAACATAGGAGATCCTTTCCTTCTTGTTATTTTTAAAGACTCTGGCCTTTTCAGCCTTTAGCCTTTCGACCTGTCGAACCCTATCGGCTAATTGAGCCATATCCCTCAAGTATTGAGTGTCTAATTTCTTTCGAATAGAGTAATCCAGGCCGCCAGCAGCCATTTCGACTAACTCATGTTCAGGAACTACTGTAAAACATCTAGATTTCAAAAGCCTGAATCTATTCAGATAATCATCTATGGGTTCAGTAAACTTCCTCTTGACACTGGCTAGTTCTTTCTGACTTATTTTTGATTATCCCATGTAGAACTGCTCATGGAATAATCTCTCCAACAAAGCCCAAGTATCTATGGACCCAGGAGGTAAAGTGGTGAACCATGTGAACGCGTTCTTAGTCAGGGAACTGGGGAAATATTTGATCCTAAGGTCTTCATTATTGGCTATATCTCATGCTTCGGTTAGATACCTGACTATGTGTTCGACTGTTGATTCATTGGTATCCCCAGCAAACTTTGTAAACTTAGGGACTTTATATCCCCTTGGTAAATCAGTGTGCATTATGTAATCTAATATAGGAGAGGCATAATTTGGCCTTCGAATTCCTGTGTTGAGGCCATTCTGGGCCATGATTCTCTCTATCATGGTGGTTAAGTTATTTTCTGCCAAGATGTTATCGTTTCGAATTCTATGAACGACTGCATCAGCATCTTGATTTCGACCCACCATGACAACCCCTCTAGGTTGTTCTTCTCGAAACTCTGGGACTTCTAGCCTTTCGACCCTTGCCCCTGGTTCCATAATTTCCCTTTGTGGGCCTTGGATCATTGGGGCTTCTAGCCTTTGTGCCCTTGCCCCCAAATTAACCTCCTCTCTGGCTGGTCTATAGGGTGGGTCGTTAGCAACTTGTTCTATAATAGGTACGTTTGCTCGAACTCCCGCCTGATTCTGCCTACGCCTTTCTGGGGGAGCAAAGAAATCTGCTATTCGACTCATGTTATCTGCGTTTTCTCTGTTTGTCACAGTCACATTTTATACTATTGGGGCAAATATCTTCTGCATAGTTTGTGCTAACACTCCTATCATATTATGGTTACTGTCATCCATCAATTGCCTAAAGGCCAACTGATTTTCTGTGGTTAGGATAGGCATTGCACTATAACCCACTGATCTTTGGTTATTTGTCATAAATTGATTTGCCCCAGACCCAGACCCTAATTGTGGTGATGAATTTGATGTGGAATTGTGTAAGCCTGCCATAAAAGATGTTGGCATTCCATAAGAGGAATTTCTGGCTCCATTACCATCGAAACCGGGTGGTCTAGTTAGTGGGGTGGCGAAATGGGTTTGTGTCCCTGATGGTGGGACAAATCCCCCAGGGTAACCAATGGTTCCAGTATTTCCTAGGATCGAACTATTAGTTGATATGCCACTTATTCCATTAGTGGCTACGCCACTGGTAGAGGATGCAACCGATTGTGCATTCGAAGGGATTGCATTAGATGTTCCCATCGAAGCGGACATATTAGTGCCTGTTGTATGTGAGATATTTTGTTCCCCTTGTTGATTGTCAGAATTAGACATCTTGTTTAAACGTTTTCTCCTGGATAAGGGTTGGTTGCTATTGGTTATTCTACCACTTCTAAGGTTCATAAAACAACAAACTTATCACTCAAAGAGTACTTTTACAATGGTTATATCTCAACAATTTTTTACTTTGTTCTAAATTTCGTAATGACCAATGACGTGTCCCATCAGGTGTGCCAATTTGTTTACAGTGATTTCTGGTAAACAACCGCTAGTCCTCCAAACTATCAAATAATCTTAATGACTGTTATTTAATCTCTCTGGTAACTTGCATGATCGACTAGATTGATCTTAGGATGTATTGGTCATTTGGATAACTCTCACTATAGAACTGATATTCATGGTTGGTATTTAGAATGTTGTGTAGGTGTTTAACTTACTTCGATTACTCTATTAAAGATCTAATAACATGATCAAGTAAATGCGCGCGAAACTAAATTGCATGAATAAAGTTCAATTGTAAAGACATATAAAACTGCAGAAAAGACAAGTAAATGACTTCGAAATATAAAGGCATGTAATGTAAAAGATTCTCTGGAATGTAAAAGATTCGAAATATGAAGAAAGCATTTAAATGCAAGAAATCAGTAAAATGACTTTAAATGAAAAAGGTATTCGAATGATAAAAGCATGAAGATAAAGGCATGAAATATACAAAAGTTTCTGAAATGTAAAGGATTTGAAATGGAAAGAAAACATTTAAATGTAAGGCATCAGTAAAAAGACTTCGAATGAAAATACTTGAATGTAAAGGCTTTTGAATGATATTGACATGAAGATAAAGGAAAATACTGGAAATGATAAAGAGTTTTATTATATCATAAACACTTGGTGTTATCATACGTACATTGCTCGTGCATTCGTTTCTTTAGCCATGTGGTATTTTGAATGTTTACTGAGTTTTTTGTACAATAGATATGACACACGAAATCCTAATGCTAAGACTTCTATTTATACTACTTCGACCATAACGGTCTTGCTATAAGATTCTGCCACGTTCAGAACATGCAAAGCAATGCCCTTCTCTCGCTTCCACGCGTCTTCGAATGCTCCAGCGCATATATTTTAAATTTCGAACATCCCGCTTGCATTTGAATTTCAAATGTTTTGGCACTCTTCGTTTCAAACGCATTTCTTGGACACAACCTTGTTACCATTTCAAGACTTCTTTGAATATATTCCCATAACTGTCACTCGAAGCTCCAAGCTTTGATATGCCCATTCGAAGCACTGCTTCTACCATTTCGAAACATGACATCTTGCTTTATTCCAATCGAAACATCCAACTTACTTCGCTTCTAATAATATCATCAAAATCTTCAGCCAACAATGAGTCGATACAAAACGCGTATGTGTCGACACAAACAGGTGCATGAGTCGACATATCTCATTATGTGTCGACTCATACTGAGCTGATTTTGTTTACAGGAGCAAGTAAAAGTTATGTATCGATGCATAGCAGCATGTGTCGATACATAATAGCTCAAAATGCAATTTTTCCTTCTTTTTATACTGTTTTTTGCATTGTATATATATATATATATATATATATATATATATATATATATATATATATATATATATATATATATATATATATATATATTCTTCATTACTGTCCATTTATTCGATATGGTTGTAATAATTAGACACCTATTTCATCCCTATATGCAAATTGTATCCCCACCCCCTTAATGATGTAATAGCTTAGGATTTTAATTTCTGCAAGTTTACCGCTTTTCATATAGTTGCTAGTAAGATAGGGTGTGTATGGTAAGATAAAATCAACCGTTAGCAAAACCTAATCTCAAAGATAAAATACATGCAATCAAATACGCTTTTCACACAAGCACCTCTAGGGTAACCTCGCTTGTTGCCTCGAAAAATAGTCATGTCCCTCGAACATGGACGTTTTAGAAAAGACCCTCGATAAAAGGTCGTAGTCCCTCGATGTTGTCTTCGGTAAACAATCTAGTCCCTAAAGAAATTGCTAAAACGTCTCATAGGTTGCCTTCTATGACTATACAATTGACCCACGCCTGTCCCTTCACATCCAACGATTGAGCTTCTTATCAATCAATGTTAAGATAGTAACATCTAAAGGAGGAGGAAAAGAACAATGACCTTTTGAGTAGGTAGGATGCTCGTAGTTGCTTACTTGCTCACAACTAAAAAACCATTTTCACACCAACACTTTCAATTGAAACATTTTCAAAAGTTAAAACACTTTGTACGCATTCTTATAGAGACAGGAATCATTACAAAAGCATTTTTCAAAATCACTTTCAAAAAACATCTTCCACAACAAACATCTCTTTGAACTATTTTCAAAACCAACACTTTGTACGCATTTTTATAGAGACGAAAATCATTACAAAGACGTTTTTAAAATATTTTCAAACCCACACCACAAAACACATTTTCAAACAAAAACAAGTGATCTATCAAGCAACTAAGAGCCCATAGATAACTATGGATGAAAAGTGTGCTAACACCCTCCTTTTCATGATTTACCCCCGAACTCAAGAAAACAACTCAAAAAGTCTTTACTGTTCTTTTCACCCTTTCCTTATTGGATAAAAGAAAAGTCGATGACGACTCTTGCTATCCGCAACAATTGCGATCAAACGCAAAACAACCAAGTCAGTTCTCCCATCGTATCAGAACCTTGATATCAAAAAAATTAAAATTGATGTCTGAAAGTTTAAGGTGATATTTTCATATACTTTATATTTTATTGATTCTTCAACGAATTAAAAAATAATTTTTTCTTATATTTAGGACGATAAGGAGTATATTGTAAATATTATTTGTTATTTTGCAAATCAAAAGCATAAACCAGCAAGCTCGAAACCCCTTTAACCGCGATGAAGCTACATAAAATCTAGCGGAAACCATTTCAGTCAGAACCAGACCAGAGAGGAATAACACAGACAAAATTTTCTTTCCCCTTTCGTTTAACCGTTCACAGCAAGAAGACGAATGAGCAGAGGGAACGGTGATGCCGAGAAGGTGGGACCCATGTTCCCAAGGCTCCATGTCAATGACACAGCAGAGAAAGGAGGACCAAGAGCACCACCGAGGAATAAGATGGCACTCTATGAACAATTCAGTGTTCCCTTTCAAAGATTCAACCCTAATTCTAATTCACTTCCTCAAACACGTTCCTCAAGCTTGGTAAGTTTTTGATTTGGGTTGGGTTGATCTATAAGTCTTGTTTACCGATTATAACATGTATATAGATTTATTTTTTTGGGTTAGCTTCTCAAATATAGTTCTTCATTTATAGAAAGGTCCTAATAAGTTGATAGGTGTTTGTGGAGAAGTTAGATGAATGAGTTTTTGAAAAAATTGAGATGAAAAACCTAATTTGAAATTAATTGAAGAGCTATTATGAAGAAACTCGTAGTTATGGTAAAATTCTTTTTCCATTTGTGTTTATTGACAAATTATTCAACTTGGCTTATTGTCATATCCTAAATCTCAAAAGCTCAATGATGTATTCAGATTATTGTTGGGATAGAATGACTCAATCCATCTTTTTGTTGCTTTAGTGTTGATGGCTTCAAATGCGTGTACATTGAAAACTCAAATAAGTTGTCACTTGTCGCCAAAGAAGGTGCATTAATGTTTTTATAACCAAAATGAGAGTCTATTGAGCTTGTATGACTCCTTTTATTTTGTGGTTCTAACATTTTTTTTTTTTTTGAAAGAATGGTGTGACAATGATTTTGTTGTAGAGACTTTGTTACTAAGGCCCTGTTTGGTTAAATAACTTAATTTGCAACATATAGAATAAACACTTATCATGATAAACACTCATGTATAACCTATTTTTATAATTAATAATTAAGGATAAAGTAATGATAAATTGTTATTGTTTTTTGTATAACCTATAAACTGTTTTCATATGCTATCTTGAAGGGGTTAAGAAAATAAGCTGAAAACAGCTTATGAATGTGCCATAAGATGTTTTCATAAGCTTTCTCAAACAGTCTCTAAGTGCTTATGCCAGTATGTAAACATAAGTTGTTAATGGAGAAATCTCTTTAACATTTTTATACCTCACATGCCCTCACATAACAGCCCATCGAAGTTGCTCATACCAACTTTATCATATGCTAAATGTTGGTGCAAGATGATGAAATTGAGGAAGAACAGAGAAAAGATAAATGCTATAAAGCTGCCACAAATGATTGAAAGATGATTGATTGTATTAAATGAAATCTAGTACACCTATTTATACACAAAAGTAGTAAAGATAAGAATGCCACATAGGCTCTAAAGAGAATATTCACAAATGGCAAATACTAAATTACCCTCTAATACCATCTCGTAATTTAGTAATTATCAGAAACTAACAACACCAATTTCATTTCTCAAATGAAGAAATTGATCTGTTTTTATTGCCTTCGTCAGAACATCTGTCAGCTGCTTCTGAGTGCTACAGTGTAGAACTTTTAACACTCCTTTCTGCACTTGACTTCTCAGAAAATGATACTTCGTCTCAATATGCTTGCTTCTTCCATGCAACACTGGATTTTTTGCAAGATTGATTGCAGACTTGTTATCAATCAACAGTTTCAGAGGTTTCTCTATCTCAATCTTCAAATCCTCCAGAAGATTCAGAAGTCAAACAGCTTGACATGCAGCTACAATACCTGCAATGTATTCAACTTTACATGTTGACAGAGCCACAACAGGCTGTTTCTTGGAACTCCAAGAAATAAGACCTCCCAGAAACTTGAACAAGTAACCAGAAGTACTTCTTCTGTCAACTCTGTCTCTACACCAGTCAGAATCAGAATAACTCACTAATTTTGGTTCTGTCTGTCTTCCAGAAGGAAATAACACTCCATATTTCAGAGTTCCTTTGATATACCTCAGAATTCTGACAACAGTTTGGTAATGAGACCACTTTGGTTTACTCATGAATCTGCTAACCATTCCAACTGCATAACAAATGTCAGGTCTGGTATTGCACAAGTACCTAAGAGAACCAACCAACTGCTTGAAGGTTGTAGCATCCACAGAATCACCATCAGAATCAGAATCTAATTTATGATTGGTTTCTGATGGTGTCACAGCAACTTTGCAATTCTGCAGCTTAAATCTCTTCAGAAGTTCAAGTTCATACTTCAGCTGATGTAGAATGATACCCTTCTTTGAGTACAAAATCTCCATTCCTAGAAAATATACCATATTTCCCAGATCTGTCATCTCAAATTCATTCATCAGAACTTCTTTGAACTTGATTATATCTTCTGGACAACTTCCTGTTAGCAATATGTCATCAACATATAGACACACCAGAATCATATTGCCACCAGAATGCTGCACATATACGCCATATTCCATCTCACATTTCTGAAACTTCTGCCTCTTGAAAAATGAATCAATTTTCAGATTCCAAGCTCTGGACGCTTGTTTCAGTCCATACAAAGCTTTATGTAACTTGTATGCCATCTCTTCCTGATTCTTTTTCACAAACCCAAGAGGTTGTGACACATATACCTCTTGTAACAGACTATTCAGAAATGCAGACTTCACATCCAGATGTATCAAAGACCAATTTCTGTTTGCAGCTAAAGCAATCACCAGTCTGATTGTTTCGTGTCTAGCTACAGGCGCAAACACCTCAAAGTAATCTAGCCTAGGTTTCTGAAGAAAACCTCTAGCCACTAGTCTTACTTTGTGTTTGCCAATTGATCCATCTTGCTTAAGCTTCACCTTGAAAATCCATCTGACGCTGATGGCTTTCTTCTTTTCTGGAAGCTTCATCAGCTTCCAAGTTTTATTTCTTTCAATAGCCTCAAGTTCTTCCTTCATGGCATTCAACCATACTTTCTTCTTGAGAGCTTCTTCAATACCCACTGGTTCAGAATCTACTAACATGGCATACTGAACGATTTCTCCTTCAGAATCTACTTCAGTATCACGCAACATGCTAAAATCTGCAAACCTACTTGGTATTCGTCTGATTCTCTGTGGCCTCTGAACTTGTTCTGAAGCTTCTCCAGAACTCGGAACAATGCTAGCTTCTGGACCTTGTCCAGAACTACTTCCTTCAGAATTACCACCTTCAGAGTTACTTCTGGAAACTTGTCCTCTAGACCCTATGTCTTCAGAGTTTTCCCTTCCAGAAATATAATCACCACCAGATTCTGGATCATCATTAGAATTTGGATCAAAATCAGATCCACTATCAGAATCTCCCTGAGATTCTGACTCATCTTCAGAGTCTTCAGATTCATCTTTTGACTCTGACTCGTCTTCAGAACTTTCTGAAGAATCTTCAGAAACTAACTCTGGTGTTGGCGCTACACCAGAATCTGATTGAAGCTTGTTCCAATCCCATGTTTCTGACTCTTTCACAATAACGTCTCTGCTGATTTCAACTTTGTTGGTTTCTGGACAATAAAGCTTATAGGCATTGTGGTACCCCACCTGTAACATTACTTTGCTTTTATCATTCAGTTTCCGTCTTCTAGCTTCTGGAACGTGTTTGTAGCATACAGAACCAAACACCCTCAGATGGCTAACACTTTGCTTGTCTCCAGTCCACTTTTCTAAAGGAACAATTTCCTTCAGCTTCTTCGTTGGACACCTATTCAGAACATATGCTGACACGGTAACAGCTTCTCCCCATAACATGTGAGGTAGCTTCTTCTCTTTCAGCATACTTCTGGTCATATCAAACAAAGTTCTGTTTCTTCTTTCAGCAAGACCATTGTGCTGAGGAGTATATGGAGCAGTAATCTCATGTTCTATTCCATTCTCCTCACAAAACTTCTGGAACTTTGTAGAGTTATACTCATCTCCACCATCCGTTCTCAGAATCTTCAGCTTCCGACCACTCTGCTTCTCAGCCTTCACCTTGAACTTCTGGAACTCAGTAAACACTTCATGCTTGAACTTGATGAGTGTTACCCATGTCATTCTTGTGAACTCATCCACAAAAGACACAAAATATTTGTTTCCTCCAAGTGAAGATACTGGAAATGGTCCACACACATCAGAATGTACTACTCCCAAAGCATGCTTTGCTCTGGACGCTACTTTTGATGCGAATGGCAATCTGGGTTGCTTGCCTTTCATGCATATCTCACATGACTTCTGAGGCTTCGCAATCTTCGAAATGCCATGTACAAGCTTCTTAGAACTTAGATGCCCTAAGCTTCTATAGTTCAAGTGCCCCAACCTCTTGTGCCACAGCTTACTGTCACCTTCAGCGCCTTCTGCACTAAGACACTCTGCTTCAGCTGTTTCTACATTCACTTTGAATGTTCTGTTGCTTCCCTGCTCAGACTTCATAATCATCTTCTGATTAGAATCATACAACGTTAAGAGGTTGTCCTTCATAACCACTGAGAAACCTTTCTCAATGAGCTGACCCACACTCATCAGATTACTTTTAATTCCAGGAACATACCAAACATCTTTGATCAGAATGTTTTTTCCATTCTTCACTTTGACTCTGACATTTCCCATACCTTCTGCATTAAGATACTTATCATCAGCACATCTGATCTTTGTTCTCCTTCTGGAGTCAAAGTCTATCAGCCATTGTTTGTTACCAGTCAAGTGGTTTGAACAACCAATGTCCATATACCACCAATCTTCTGAACAGTTTCCATCAGAATCAGAAGCCATCAGTATCACAGGTTCATCAGAATCTCCTCTGGCTATATTTGCTTCTTCTGATTTCCTTCCTCTATTTCTACAATCTCTGGCAAAATGGCCAAACTGTTTACAACAGTAACATTGAACCTTCTTCTTGTCATACCTTTCCTTTCCCTTCTGATATTTCCTTTCATCAGAAGTTGAGGTTTCTGACTTCTGGAATTTATCACCACGTCTATTCTGCTTCTGGTCCTTCTTGGCAAAAGAAGCCTTCAGAGCTTGCTCCACTTCCCTCTCAGAAGTTCTTTCAGTTAGACGCAACTCCCGCGCTTCTAGACTGCTTTGCAACTCTTCTATTCTCATGGTTTCCAGATTTTTAGAATGTCCAATAGAAACAACAATGTAATCAAACTGAGGAGTAAGTGACCTCAGAATCTTCTCTATGATTACCTGTTCAGAAAGTGTTTCTCCACAAGCTTTCATCTCATTAGTGATCAGAATCATTCTAGAGATGTACTCAGAAACTTTCTCACTGTTCTTCATGTTGAGATTCTCATATTGCTTTCGCAGGGACTGAAGCTTTACCTTCTTTACTGACGCGTCACCACCATAACATCTGACCAGTATATCCCATGCCTCTTTCGACGTCGTCGAATCAGCAATCTTCTCAAACACACATCCACACACTGATGGATATAGAACAGAGCTTTCTGATCCCTCTTTCTCGTAGCTCTTTCTGCAGATCTTTGTTCTTCAGTAGCATCTGCTGCAACTGGAACATAACCTTCAGTAACAAGATCCAGAACGTCCCGAGCACTAAACAGCACACGCATTTGTATCATCCATCTGTTTCAGCTTTTGCCATCAAAAACTGGAAGTTTAGTGTTCAAACTACTGTCTCCACTCATCTTAAACCTTGCACAAAAAACGCAGATCTCAGATTCTCACTCAGTGTTTCCAAAACCCACAGAATCAGTGTGATTCTGTTCAAATTTTTGTTCAAGATTCAACAAAAATCAGGAACCAAAAATCAAACACACAGCTCACTATCACTCGTGTTTTTCAGAACTTCAGAACAAATCAAGAGCTCTAGATACCAATTTGTTGGTGCAAGGTGATGAAATTGAAGAAGAAGAGAGAAAAGATAAATGCTATAAAGCTGTCACAAATGATTGGAAGATGATTGATTGTATTAAATGAAACCTAGTACACCTATTTATACACAAAAGTAGTAAAGATAAGAATGCCACATAAGTCCTAAAGAGAATATCCACAAATGGCAAATACTAAATTACCCTCTAATACTAAAATCCAACTCTTTAATTAAAATAATGGTGTGACATGACTTTGGTCGTTGTAGAGGTTCTGTTACCATGATAAGAAACAATTCGAAAAGCTTAACTTGTAAAGGAAAAAAGCACTTTAATGGTTTTACATATTATACGCCTGTACCTAAGAATCGAATGGACTTGCTCTTGCTTTTTTAATCATGTGCCGAAGTCCAACTTTGAATTTGAAAGAATGGTATGCTAACAATTGTACTCACCATTTGGTTATAGAGGCCACATTATGTTATCATGAATGACTTTGTGTTATCATCTCTAACACCAGTCAATATATTTGAAGGGAAATGACCCTGAGAGAAGCTACATTTTCCCAGTTTGCTTATCTTCACAGACAGAAAGTTATATTTCTCACCAATCTAATGTAGCAAACATGGATGCTTTGTCAGCGCTTGAACATAGAAAAAAAGTAGATGGAGATGATAGTCGTGCATATGATCGCAAGAGGATTGGTCAATCTAATGATAAAACAATGAAGAGTTTCAATGGGGAAACACTCACTCCTACGGGCTCTGGTAATTTTGGTTGTTTAGTATCCGAGAATGTTGGTGACAAAGATCAAACACAATTTGGCTCCCTGCTCGTCAAAATGAGAAAAGATGTGAGAAATAAGGGTGAAGCGCATCTGCAAGAAAGCCTTAGTACACAGAAAACAGTAATGCCCGTTGAAAGATTGTCGACAGGAGAAATTATTGACAGTCCAGTGAGGCAAGCCGAGAAGATTTCAGATGAAGAGGATCAGAGGGATGCTTGCCTACAGCAGGAATCCAATTATGTTGAACATGGTGGAAGTCTCGTTGACTCTGCAATGGATATGGATAATAGAAACAGCCTTGTATTAAGAGGCTGCTTTCGTTCTACAGTGGACCAAACCAGTGTACTTGAAGCCGCCAACCATACCGAGTATCATGATACGAACATTGACAGCCCAATAGACAATGGAACCTCAGAAGGAAGTGATGATGTATCTAAGAATTCCACTCTAGAAAATATGCCAAGCCCGAAACTTTCTCCTGATGGGGTCGTAGAGATATTAGGTCAACAACATTTTTGGAAAGCAAGACGAAAAATTACCAAGTAAGTATCATCGGCTGTCTATAGCATATGCTTTTGTAATGGTCTTAAATTTGGATTGCTTCCTTCTGAACCCTTCACAAATGTATGATTGGTTCATTCTCTTATTTGTATCAGACTGTTCAGTTTGTCATGGAAAAGGTCATATTTTATTTTTGTTTCCTTGTGCATGTGTGCAGGAGTTTAGAATAAAAGTCCTAGTTTGTTTTGGTAGAAGTTTGATTTGTCTACCACAATTTTTATTTTCCCTTCCCCATTTTATAATTTCGATGCATTTTTTATTTGGATGAGGTTTGTTTCAAGAATATATCATATTTTTGCCTATTGCCACGTACTACAGGTATTTTTATTTTCTCATATTGCTACAGGCCACAAATGTAAAGTTGCTGTAATTTCATTGAAGATATTCTATTATAGAACATGTTGAGTATTAGACTATATCAGAATCAGCTGTCTTATTTTCATGAATTGTTACTTAATCAAGAGTATGAGTCTAATTAAGGATTACAGTTTTGTTTTCTTAAACAATATACCAAATATCATTTGCATTGATATCAATAATTTTGTTATTATTTTGAGTATTCCTTTTCGTTTCTCTTTAAACCATATAACATAAACAAAAATTGTAAAGCGTTACCAATTTTCCAGGTTAGTTGATTCTATTGAGAATGCTGAATGTACCTTATTTGATTTGTATGTTTAAGTTATGCTTCCTGTTTGAATCTCGTCTTTATTTTGAACCAGAAACAATAAAATTGCACAACTATATTTTGTTTGGAATTCCTGAGCCTTTATGTTTTGAATCATGTGAAAAAGCTCGTATATCCCAATTCATAGACTGAATTATTAATTATATACAAACAGTCATGGTATAAGATTTGTGTCTAGTTATTAAATTTCAACCCTCCTGAAAAAATGATAGATTTCTGAGAAAATATGACATGCATGAATTCTGGAAAGGTAGATATTTGGCTTGATTGACCGGTTACCTCTGAGGTGACAGGAGAATCTTTGATTTTGTGTTATTGGTTTATACGTTTAGTTATGAATGTATCATTTCATTTTGTGTCTTAAATCCCATATTGGATGTTTTTGATTGAACTCTCATTCTCCTCTTTACAGTCAACAAAGAATGTATGCGGTCCAAGTGTTTGAATTGCACAGACTGATAAAGGTAAAATGATCTTACTGAGTAATTCACCCTTCAAAGTTCAAACATGTTCATGCCAAGTAATTCATTTAATTTAAACAGGTTCAACATCTGATTGCTGAATCATCAAATCTTTTGCTCGATGCTGCTGCTATTTTGGGAAAATCTCCTCTGCAGGGATCTAATTCTAAAAGCCTCTCACTGGAAGAAGTTGTTGAACCTCAGGCACAAAATCATAAACAGCAAGACCATTCTGAAAACCAAAACCATAAATTGGATTGTTCTGCTGAAAATGGAGTTGAGAAAACATCGTTTTCATCCCAAAAATATGGTAGCCACCTTTCAAATTACACCTCTTTTCCTGGAAACTCAGACAAGACAAATGTCGGAGCCCAGTGTTTTAATCAATCACCTGGACACCAGTGGTTAATTCCTGTTATGTCTCCTTCCGAGGGGCTTGTCTACAAGCCATATCCCGGTCCTGGATTTCCTGGAGCTGTATACGGTCCTCCAGATGGTACATTCATGAATCCTGCCTATGGAGTTCCTAATTTTCATCAAGCGATTGCGATGTCACCGTTCATTCCTCCAAGTAGTTATGCCTACTTCCCTCCTCCCGGCATGCCAGCAATGAATCAATCAGTATCAGGGTCAGTTGCTGAACAGGTAAACCAGTTTGTGGCACAAGGTTCTCGTGAGCGAAACAGTAATTCATCCTTAGTTGGAGCCGATTTTGACACTCATAATCAAAGCTCGCGTAATTTTTCAAATCAGAATAGGGGAGCCATATCACATGTCACAAAATCTAGGCCGTCTAGGGAAAGAGAGCTAGCATGTAGTCCTAATGAAGAGGCCCAGGGAATAAGAATAGAGAAATCTTCCGAAGGAAGAGATGCACGTCCGTCTTCCTTTACGGTTCCACTAGTATCAGACGAAGTTTTTCAATCGGTTGAAACAAGACAAAAACCACAGGTAATCAGAGTTGTACCACATAATAACCCGCGGTCTGCAACGGTATCAGCTGCTAGAATTTTTCAGTCGATCCAAGAAGAGAGAAAACAGTATGATCTATTATAGTGTTGTTTATGGATGTGTAACCTTTGAGTTGAGTTTATAAAATGGATCAAGTTTCTGTATTACTTTTGTTGTCATGTATTATAACTCGAAATCAAAATATACTTTAGTTAACATCTATCAAAATCAACAAAGACCTACATATTGATTAGAATAGTTTCTTATTGCATCAAGATAAACATAAAACATTTAAAACTCGGATGTTTTTAAGGGCACATTGGATTACTACCGGGTCCTCCATAATAAAACTCAGGATCTTCAAGATAATCTGATACATAGTAAAAATCATAACAATTATATTCATCTGAGTAATATTGAACCCATTCGGGAATCTTCAGGCTCGGATAATTATCGTGGACTCTCATCCTTAATATGGAAGCCGAATTGCCTCTAGAAAATTGTCCGTTACCCATTTGTGTTTTGGTATGAGGAGTATGTCCAACAGTTGTACTGTAAACTTCACCACCCCACTCCACTGATTCAGCATTGTAGCAAATTGCTCTGAATATTTCTGGTGGCCAATAACCTATGTTGGTATTCTCACCATATTGCACCCACCAATTATTAGTAATTAGATCCTAAAGCAAAGAAAAAGAAAGATTAAAAATGAAAAGAAAAACAAAAATTTCCACAATATTTATAGTTCATAAAAATGTGTGACCTTATAGATGTAAATAGTTATTTGGTATGGAAGACCACCAGGAGTTGGTATTGGATAAATTGCAGCACCTAAGGCAATTTCATTACTGGTTTGAATAAATCCAGGACAGGTCAGATCAAAACAACCTGTTTCGTGCGAACCATCGGCCTGTAGAAATCGATGTTCCAAAGAATTGAAGAAATTTATTGAACTTTCGAATAAAGGTTAGTCTATAAGCAAAACAATTAACTAATTGTATTAGATTGATACAGCTGTATACACTTACAGTCCAATATACGAATAATCGAGTCTTCCTGTCTCCATATACACTAGGATTCACCTGTAACAGATTTATCAAACACAAAGATAATGAAATCTTTGACAGATGAATCGTTTTAAACCATTAATGAAGCAAATAAAGTTACGAGTTGAAGTGCATTTTTCTTGCAAATAAGCATAAGTTATTTTGATGTATAAGTTACTTCTTACCGCCCAACCGGATTCAATACACTCATAGTCATTGTAAGATCCATTCAAAAGAGAAACCTGAGCAGTGCTGTATTCATCATCCTTTTCAACAGAAGGACTAAAAACTCTAATGTCTCCTTTACCTCCCAAGTAGCGGAATCCTGTTGCGAATACTATTGCCTTCTGGTTCAGACAGATATCAAATCAGCAAAGTAGAAGAGTTCGTTGCTTCAACTACAAGTAATGTCATGCCATGTTATATATTGCAGAAACTTACAGAGTGATTTTGTTGCTGTACAAAGGAATCCAGATTATTATTCAGCCGATGATTAACTTGTCTGTTTAAAAAACTTGGTTTCTTCCTTCCGTATTCATCGATTGAGCAAGCCTTAAGAAGCTCTCTCTTTCGTATTCTTCTAATCGGTATTGTTCCCTTTGGACAACTTCCATTTTTCTGCCATATTTGGGAAGTTACTGTCATATATGATTCTTCATCTTTTTGCTTCATCATGGAACTCTTTGTTTTACTTCTAGTAGTCCTTTCTATGGGATCCTTCTTAGCTGAATTGTAACTAGGAGCCATCTGGTTTCATAGACTAGTAAGTCAGAGTTTGCAAGAAGAAAACATGTTTTGCAATCATATATAGAGTATTCACCTGAATTTTGTGATCTTTCAAAGCAGGGTGATCAAATGCAGGTTGCTTTTTAATGTCGACGCAATCAATAATATCTCCGTCTTCACTCTACAAGCATGGAAAAATAATACAATTATTAAGCTTAGCACCTTGTGTGACAATTTAGAAAATATGAAGAATACCAAAAAAACTCGCTCAATATTCAACAATGATATATTTAACTTCCAAAGAAATTTTGTTACCTGAATGGTTTTTAATGAGTGTTTTCTAAGATGCTGTAGTTTTCTCTCAACTTCCAAAATCTTCTGTTTAGAGAAAGAGCCGTCAGTGTTAGTACCGGAAACTGTAATTAACAGCATCAAGAGATTGAATATTACTTTGGATCTCATGGCTGGAAAAAACATTATATTTATCGATAAAACTTGTCTAAAAGTGTAATGTAACAGCTAGTTATTATTGGTAACATGATTGAATGGAAGGCAAAGATATGTTTATATATATAATATAGTGATACTCAAGACATTTATTGGTAACATGAACTATATATGCACATTGCTTAACTATAAGCTAGCTAGTGATGTCTGCATGAGTTACCTGTCTATATATTTGTCATTCATCTTTTGTTTACATCAAATAGTTGAAATTCAAATGCATGCTTCATTTATCAGCCACCTTCCCATCAGAAATATTAATTTTGAGAAATATTAGTAATTTAAACATGATGTAACCGTCGTGACTTAAACAAAACAAAACTCATTTTTTATATTGTATTGCTTTAAACATGATGTTCGACAGAAGAAATCCAATCCACTTGATAGGCACGGAGGGTGGAGAGAAAAATCTAGCATAACTAGTATCATAACAAGTTGACTCAACCTCTAGTGATATATCAAATATAGATAGGAGTCACAAATTTGAATCTTTGACAAACTGTGAGCAAGACAGTAAATGGTCATAAGAAGATAACATAACGGTCAGAGGCATTAAGGCCTTTGGCCGGATTAAAGCCAATATAGTTATAAATACATGATGGGAAGAATTACAGAAGATCATTACTTATTCACGAATACTAGCCCTAAATGATCTTTAATTCTGTGGATCGTGGTGGAAGACCGTTTCATAGAAATCATAGGGGTCGTTATAGTGTGATGCTTTAGCTTCGTGTTGGGTCATGCATTTTGTTTCATGGATTTTATGTCACTTTCTGGGTTTGTTTCTTTATTTATTTTTATGCATTAGTAACAATGTCACTTCTTTGAAGTGAAAACAATGTTCTATATTTTTATTTGTTGTTTATGACAATGTCTAACACTTTTGCTATAATGTGTTTGTTGTTGTTTTGTTATTTATGTTTATTCTTTGCTTCACTTCATGTATATCGGTATATGTGAGTGCACATTTTTACTTTTGCGAAATATCTCTATGTGATATATTCATATTTATGTGAATAATGATATTTCTCATCTTGCGCTTTGTCTCTTTTTAACGTTGTCAAAGGGGGAGAAGCATAAGGGAAGATAAGGGAAGATAAATGCACATATTTAGGGGGAGTCTTCACGAAGAAATGAAAAGCATCATTACAAGTTTTGAAATTTTGCCATCATCATAAATGAGGAGTATGTAAATGTATTTGTCTCTTAGATAGATGTTTTGCATGATTTCAAAATTAGGATAGATTTAACTTTTGTGTATATTGAAGGGTTTCTCTAAGTCATTGTGTGCATCCTTGAATTAGAGATCTTAGAATGCATCTAGAACATGTTTGAAAAGGTTGTCAATAGATATCATACACTAAAAATTAATTTCTGCATAAAAATCATTTGAATGTGTCAACACATCCGTGCTATGCATCGACGCATGAGGATAAATAAAAATCTTTAGGCTCTGTAGCTATGTGTCGACACATGCTGCATTTCAAGTCGACACATGTCATTATAAAATCTCTATGTATTGACACATCCATGTTTTGTGTCGACACATGTATTGTTGTTTTAAATCTTGTAGCGTCTGTAACTTTGTGTCGACACAATGACCTCATATAGTCGACACATGTCAGAATCTCTCAAAACTTGTTTTCCTTTTCAAACTTCTAAGTTTTCCTTTTGCATCCAACTTGCACACCTATATATACTTCATACACGCATCTTTTTCATTTGATGAAACTATAAACACATACTAAGATTTCTCATCATCTTCAACCTTGCATCTATGCATACACACAAGCAAAGTACACATAATCATTCATTGTTTGGGTGCCATCTAGACTTGGTTGACAATGTTCAATTTAGGTTGATTGTAACCTAAGACTGTGTTGAGAATCATAAGGGGTTTCATCGAAAAAACGGGGAGAGTTTTTACCTCAAGATCAAAGTGTGGATTTGTGGATTTTTACAAGGTTTTGCAAATATTAGATTCGACCGAGTGAAAGACTTTGAAGAACGGGAGGTTCTTACAAAGGAGTAGCATGAGACGGTGAATCGTTTGGAAATCTTGGGTGATAACAATTCACAATTTGGATTCGGCCGAGTGAAGAGCTTTAAAGAACAATGGTTTCTTGCAAAGGAGTAGCGCGAAACAGTGGATAATATTAGTATGATCAAAATCAGATCATAGGAAGAAAAATTGCTATGATCAACATCAAACATATGATTTTTGGGGTTGGATTTCTATATTTCTCTTGTAAATAACTTTTTGCATAGTAATAAATTTATCTCAATTCCAAACAAAATTGGAGGGAGAAGTAGCCATAACAAAGACAATTGGTAAACTTCCTAAATAAATCTTTGTGTCATTCTCTCTCTCTCTCTATATATATATATATATATATATATATATATATATATATATATATATATATATATATATATATATATATATATATATATATATATATATATATATATATATATATATATATATAGTTAATGATGAATGAACAATGTTTGAACCTTCTAAAATATATAAACAATATATTTTAGACCATTTAACAATAATTATTTTGTCACTCAAAATCTTTAACACTCCATGTTCAACTCTAGTACAATAGCCTAGATCATCAAACATACTTATAGATAACAAATTTCGCTTGAGTTCTGGAACATACCTCACATTATGAATAAGAAGTTCACGATCATGAAACATTTTAAGTTTGACTGTACCAATACCATGAACATTGCAAGTCTTATTATCACCAAGGCGAACAACTCCACCTTGAACCATCTCCAAAATTTTAAAGTATTCTATTCTTAGACACATGTGAA